CTAATGAATGTCTGGTGGTTGACGAGCAAGACACCAGGTGAAAAAAGGTAATTTGTGGACCTAGTTTTCCGAAGAAATCCATTCCTCCGCTTACCAAAAGCAAATATCCTTCTCGCCTAATGATCTGGATGAGGGTTAAATACGGAGTATCTTGTTGTTGGGCTCCTGTACATGGTACACTGGACAGTGCAAAATTTGCCTCACTGATCAAGGAAGTTTTCAGTGACTACCACTCTCTCGGAATGTCTTCGGTAAAGCCATACTATTACAGGACAATGCACCATGTCATGTTTCACGTGAGGTATGACACAAAATCAGTTAAACTGAAGCATATATTGTTTTTTTTCATGCTCAGACACGATCTGAAATGGCTACCTCAAAAATCGAATTCATGCAGTTTTCACCTAACAGCCCGGATTTGAATGTGATCGAAAACTGCTTATCTGTGTTGAAAACAGAGCTGAGTCACCTTCCTCGAGAGTGGTCGTTGGAGGCCAGGGTGCGGCATATACCGGAGGAAACTGACAAAAGTGATCTAATTTCCAAGTTAGTGGACTCCATGCCAAAAAGACTGACTCAAGTGCTCCAAAATAAAGGAGGACACAAATTATTAGCGCTCGGCCAAAAGAAGCAACCATATAAGTTAATACTATTATAGAAATTTTGCGAGTGACTTAGGGCAATACCATGCACATTCCCGTGCACGAGGATCAAAACGTTTGGCAATGAGATAAATAGATTTGGGGAAAGTCATGATGTTGCACGAGTTTGGTTAATACCTGTATTACGTCTGAAAATTACCATTATCGTAAAGTTGTAGGCTTCACGACCTATTTGCAAATTTGGATAACTAAAACCATTGTCTGTTCGAAGGGATATCCATAAAGGCCTCTGATTATCAACATTGCAGAATCACAGAACTAATACAGCTAGTTAAAATTCATTTTTTTAAACAGCGATTTCGGTTTAAAAATTAAGTTCGATCCACTTTTAAATTTTTTCTCAATGCAAAACATTCGGAATCCTGCTGAACAAGAGAACCCTGTTCAAAACAAAAAATACTTTAGGAATTCTCATACTATGTTCTTGCTTTGTGTTCTTCTGAGTTAATCGTAATGGTCACGAACTGGACTCCGGTCTGTCATGGACTGCTCTTTTAACATGAGTCGAAGCATTTTTCACGAGACCAATGGAAACAGCATAGTACATAGATAAACGATAACCATTCTAGTTGATCAAGTTAAATATGAGCATACAATTGATGTATGGAGAATCAATCAAAAAATTACCTGGTTGTGATCGGGATACGGGATGAGTCCAGCCACAACACCCAAAATGGTGGCCGGATCAATTTCCATATGTGTATATTGATTACCGTCGTTTAAACAGCTCTCGTCCATGGCGACCAAACAGTCATTCAGTTCGTTCGCATCCAGATACTCAATCACTCCTTTCTTCAGGAAGTCATCCCAGCTGAGCACATGATGAGCAAGGTCCTAGTAAAAATAAACTGACTTTGCAACAACGAGAAAGGAGCTCAAGAAATATTATAAAATAAGAGGTCAAAATCAAACCAATAGTAGACAACAGTTTTCAAAAGAATCAAGACAAGTTTTCAGTGATTTATCTGGGGGAAGTCTACTTCAGAAGTACATTTATTCTGGTAATTATTGCTCTCCGGGATTCAGAATGATAATTTTAACTATATCATGACTAAAGGTGGCCATCTGTTTGCCATTCACCATGGTAAGGTATGTGATTCAAAACATGCTGAATATTCTAGGTAGGGACTTAAGTTACGGGATTAAGTAAAACTCAATGGTTAGATGTTTTATTGATCATGGAAACTAAAATGTATGTGATAGTCGAAAAGGAGAAATGCACAACTATTCCCTCTTGCTATGGAATCTACAGCAGTGTGCCCGTGTTTTCCTGTCAGGACAAATGGGGAAAACTGTCGAATTCACAAAGAATCAAACCCATATCGAAATAAATACCAAGGTAATACACAGGGCACAATGTCTGTAAAAACTGAATAAACAAATCATATGCCAAAGTTTTTGTTTATTTTACATCCTCCAAAAACCTGTGTTGTTAAGGTGTCTTGGGTTATGGCTGTTCAGTCCTGCCATACACCTCGTTAGATACTCTTATATGGCCAAGTGTCCCAAATAGCCTCTGCTGAGGAAGCAATAATCACTCCCTTAGAGTGGCGGAGGTATTTCCTTAGCGAAATGAGGGGACGAAAAGCCAACATCCGGGGCTATAACCTCGTCGGTGAACTACTGGCAGTTTAACTAGGGGAGATAATTAAAAACCCTGATTCCAAACAACCTAAGAAGAGCCGTACAAACATCTTGGTTCTGACTGTGGTCCCCAGCTGGATCGGGCATCGAAGTGCATCGAGCGCATTGTGCGTTTGACCTCCTTCAAAGAGACAATTCGAAGAACTGGATATCAGCACCCACGAATCGAGAATTTAACAAACCACCTAGCTGCATCGCTGGTCAAGCTTTGGTTATCAGAAGGCTGCGGTTGTGAAATTTCGAGAAAATTCCCCTCCTTCGGCTTGGAAAACTCAGTGCACCGCTCAGGGAAAAATCGTGGATTGATTTATTTGCTATAGAGATTACCGTACCATTTTGGGGGGAAGTCTGAACCCAGACGTGCGGGAAATATTTCAATATTTCATTCGGGTATGCGGTAGGCAAAATTTATTCAAATTAAAGGAGTGGGCTCGGTAGTCGAGAGAGAAAAAGAAAATTTGACGAAGCAGACGGGTATTCATATCCGAAAAAATGAACAAATCAAACGCGTACTCACTTCAAGCATAGCCTGAGTAACCAGTGGTCGATTATTGGATACGATTATATACGGACGGCACAGACGACCACCATCGCTCACCACGTGAACGCATCGGTGCACCTGTTTAATGTGGACGGACACAAAACAGTCAATGCGGCCGGTGCGTCGTAGGCCACGAATCAGGGCGGCTAATTTTCCGGGTTGCTCGGTGAATCCGATTGGTTTGCCATTCACGTAAATGATGAACCTGTCCGAGGCGTGTAAGTTCATGGAGAAAAGAAGGGATTATAGTCAGGGACACAAAAATGACCGTCTTATGGCTGTCTGGGGAAATACGGAAGTGGGGATGATGGTCGGCGGTGGCGGGGTTCGAACTCAGAATCGTCATATCGCTGGTCTGACGATCTTAACAACTCGACCAACGCCGCCCAATGAACTAACTGACTGAACAAGGGGCCCAAAATTACGTATATAATAGCTTGCGAGTACAGCGCACCACCGAATGACTTTTCAATGAACAAACAATGAAAAGCAAATCTCACAAAGGTTGCGCTTGAACGGCAGATGGGCTATCAAATGGAACAAGAGGAATCATCATTTTTCTCGTGCACGAATGTGCCATAGCCGCATCAAACGTACCCGCGCTTGCGGCTGTCATATAAGTCACGTAAGGAATACAACTTAGATTTCAGTTTCAGTTTTTACAACCACTAGTCATGCACTTTCGTAAGCCTGTTTTGGTTGCTGTCTTTTGGCAGCCCATTTGGATAAAACAGTTGAATGAAGATTAGAATGTTGAGAACAAAGTCAAGCGAAAGATAGAGAATTCATACAGACTGAGGTTGCAAGAATAATGAGTAGATGCATGAACACCACTCTGTTATGTCTTATGCCAAAACGTATGATTGATATGAGCGCCTCTTGACTAGCCCTCAACAATTGGAGAGAGAACACGGCTGAGAAACGACAGTCAGTATATTACTGATCTTGAAGCAATACGCAAATATAGGTGGTAATTTAAACGTACGAGAATCGACTTGATGACGCACCAATCAGGTTGCGACCTTGATACTTCGATTGATCGATCGGACGACAGCCGACTGTCTCGCCTTAGTCATCCAATCCGACATCGATTCGGCTTGGGCGTCACGACCGCATTTGTGGTGTGACGCGGGTCGATGCGCGGACGGACGGATTTTGTGCGCTCCGTCCTAACACTGTTTGCGATACCCAGTCATATCACTCAGTGTCTCTAACCATCGGTGACCATGATCTCGAGGTCCCCAACCAGAAAGTCCAACGGGACCTATGTGACCCAGTCTCCGGGTTAGAATTTCCATACCCTCGTGCCAGGTCTTAGCTTGACTGCCCTTAACCTTTTTTCAATCACTACCTGTCTCGGCAACCTATCTGGTGGCATGCTTAACACATGCCCCAACCAGCGTAATCTATGGAGGTCAACTACTTGCTTCAGTGGACAAACTACGATTAACCAAAACTCTACGCCTCACCTCAGCATTGCCCACCCTGAGACAGCCAGTTTAGGTTCCGGCAATTCTTGTGAAGAAGCACGGATAAGTAGCCGGATGTATCGTACTTCTGAGCATGACACTGCTTGTTACTGATAGAACGTACTCGGAAGATGTGCAAGATTCTGTCCGATAAATGATCAATGATTATTGATGATGATGACCATTAGGAAAACGTGGCCCTTTTACTGGGAGTAAATCCTAACGAAGCAACATATTAGTGGAGCGGAATATAATAGAGCAAACTTCACTGATCGCTGTCATAAAGCACACACGATAAGTAGGAGTGTATAAGAATAAAAGGGATTGGGTCCTATTTGAGAAGGGGGGAGCGAACCTCTATGGTCAATACACAGAGTACACAGTTCAACGGTGCATCCATACATGTTCAAGCATGCTGGTGTGATAAAAGTGACAAGAACGCCTCTGCTGTCGTCCAGCTACTGAATCTTTCAGAACCCAACACGAAAGACAAGAGAGCTATTCTACCTAACAGATCTGTGCATTTATTCATGCCTCGTCTCCACGTGATCTTTCGACCATGCGTTTTTTGCCGGTCTGGAGCGGCTATCGCAACCAAGGCGCAGTGTGTGAAGCAAAACGTATCTTAACCAACGGCGCGTGCTGCGAATTCCTCCGTGATGCATCACCAAACATCCGACAACTTACATATAGGTTAATAAAATGCTCACTCCGGGCGACCGAGTAGTACAACAGCCCATGACGCCAGCAACGATGAACTCTTCGACTTCTACGTGCATCCAGTTTACAATTTCTGCAACTAGAGGCAAACACTCTATATCGTACACACACCCATGTCCCCCCAGCCGTCCCCCAACCCATATCCTACCCCTTTCTCGGGATCTTCAGACGATCGTGCAAACACTAATGCCTCAGATGGAAACGCTGCCGCTGTTCCCTCATGTCCTACCTCGACTACCGCCCAAATCTCACCGAATCCTCCACCAGCTGAAGCCCTTCTTCGCCCTCGATGCCCATTCAAACTAGCCACATTTAATGTGCGTACTCTGATGCGTATAGGACAACAGGCCGGTTTAACTCGTACGCTCGAGACCCTAGCCATCGATGTGTGTTGTATCCAAGAGACTCGCATTCAAGACTCCAGCTCCATTATCCGGTTGAAGTCCCCATCAAACCCATCAGTGAAGTTTCACTTACGCCTCTCTAGGGACCCTGAGGCTGCGGCTTCCGGTCTTGCAGGCGTTGGTGTGGCTCTCCGTGAGAGCTGAAGCCGCGCTCCTAGACTGGTTCCCAGTCGACAGAAGATTGTGCGCAGTGGGACTTAGAGATTTGTGCAAAACCAGTTTGTCGTGTCGGTGTACGGCCCGACGAACTGAAGCCCAGATGCAGTCAAAGATGAATTTTATCATTATATATTTACCACCGGCTTGAAGACAAGCATGGCGCCAACGAAACAACAATAACAGCGAAAGAGAACAGGTGGATTAAGATACAGAACATGGTGAAAAGTCGGTGGAACAGTTAAACATGGGAAAATACAAGATAACAGAATTTTTTGTGTTGCCCCGTACAACTTTTGCGATTTTTTTTTTGTGTTGTTTGATGTTTCGTTTTTCTCAAGGGGCATAGGATTTCGACAGACAGACCATACAGCATTCGCGCCACTGACTTCTATTCTGCGCCATATCTCTCAGCGTCTCTAACCAGCTCCCAACCTGGAAGGCGGGCTGCACCAACCGATGGGTTAACGTCAATTCACCTCAGATCGATGATGTGGCAGGAGGTATTGACCAGGTGAAGTTGTTTGGTCATGGCATTGACTCCCCTTTTGACAATTCCTAGTTTCGGTTTCACGTCATCTAACTTGAAATGGTGTGTAGATAACAGAGATTAATCTCTCAACAAGACAAACGAAAAAAAACGGTGTTTCAATCACCCTGTTAGACCAGATACATTTGTTCGTTACACACTCACTCTGTCCGACCGTACTGTAGTTGTTGCAATGGGAGCACGTAGTAGTTGCTGATCAGACGAATCAACGCGGTGTCATCCATCTCCACTGTCACGTGGCACATAAGCGCCACGTTTTTCACCAATCCGCAGGCCTCCCCTTCAGGTGTATCCGACGGACAAATCAAACCCCATTGACTGGCGTGGATTGATCGTGGACCAGAAACCTAAGGAACGAGAATAACCGGCATTATGAATGAACGTGCACACATTTACGATAGCGATGGCACCCGCCCAGCACCAGTTCTATCGGGAAATCGATTATCTACATCTTGAACTAGAGTACCTCATTTATCTTAGACTTCATCACTACACCTGACTTCTAGAACACGGGATCTTCGTAGACCATCTGTGCAGTGGCGTATTTTTTATCATTTCTTATCAGGTCAGAATGCTTGAAAAGGTATGTATGCACACTTAGATCGTGTACTTTGTGTGTTGACCATAGAGGTTCACTATCTTTTCCTCCCTCCAATTAGGCTCAATCCCTCTCCATCTTGTGCTCTATCACTTGATTCGTGTACATTGTGAGCTTGGCAGCGATCAGTGAAGTTCACTTCACTGTATCTCGCTGTACGATGATGATGATGTATCATAATTCGATTCGAATAATTGAGCTGAAGCACTGAATTGCTTGCTGTCAAAATGGCTGACGCTTAGCAGAACTAAAAGAACCTGTTTTATCGAATTATATTTTGCCGATCAGAACCGATACATCAACTTCCCTTAGACCCACAAATGAGAGAAGTAATTGTTCACTGATGGATAGGGGAACCGAAATGTGGGGATGCGTAATCTTCAAGTAGTCTTCATTCTTCAAAAGTCTTTAACACACCCATATCAAATACGTTTACTTTTCCAGCGATCAACCAATAAGTACAAATGTGCTCAGTCACTCGACAGGTCTGCAGCATGGGAATTAAGGACAAAACTGAACGAACCCAACGCTGAATGACACTGGGTAACAGGAAAAACACCCCAAACAAGTTTTGTGTTACCTTACGGGTTTTCTCAAATTGGCTGGTCATTCGAGTCATGTGGCCTAGGGCAGCAACATATGACAAACGACTGACAATTTGTGTAACTCCATGGCGCATCATACGAAACCGTTTGATAATCCAGTTGCCTGATGAAATTGCCCGATTCAACTGTTCTGTGATCATCCACGTTTTGATGTGCCGTGAAATATCGAACGGCGTGCATCGGCGCTTAGTGTCCAGCTTTGAGACAGTGAGCCAAATGTCTTCATTGAATGTTTTGAATACATCTTCAAACAACAGGGCGATTAGACTTCCGGCCAATTCAATGCGTTTGTTTCCATAGAAATCACGATCGTCTGGCTGTACAAACGAAACGGAGTTTAAAAAACATACAAAGACGCGTGAAACAGTTTGAGGTGACGTGAAAGAGAGAGAGAACTTGCCAGAATTTGCCCTATAATCAATTCAATAGTTATGCATTTCCCAAGCGCGACTCTAATTACATTACCATAAGTGCTATTTCAATAGTTAACCCAGTAATAAACGAACCAAGTGTGAACGTGGTAAAACCATGGTAAACTGAAGTGTTTGGGCACGCAGCACCAGTTCTGTCAATATACAACATTGTTCACGTGTGAATAAAGTGATATCGGTGGGAGTGAATGGTCAATGCTAAACTTTACGATATTCATCAGAGCAACCTGGATAATCTATACAAACATGATTTGAAAGTTGTCTCCAGGAGCATTTCAGATCTGCAATACATTTTGAACAATATTTAAAAGCGAACCATATTCAGTACCTTGATTTCCTAATCAAGTTTGGATACGATTCTAATTTCTTATAAGTTTTTTAAATATTTTTATTACATACCTAAGTGTGATGAACAGCAAACGGGGTGAAACCCATAGTCACGAGGACCCGCTGTTCTGTGATGGAAACCGGCAACCTAAGCCCCGTGGTTAAGCGTGGTATTGAACCGGACGACAGCAGAGCTGCTTACCACCAAAGTCGGGAGGCGGTGGCGGGGCTCGAACCTCGGACCATAGGG